ATACTCTTAAGGTTTTTTCGGTAAAGTCACGTAGGTAAAAATAAATAATAAAAATAAAGAATAAAAAATAATAATGGTTTATTATTTTATTTTTATTATTTCTATCATTTTTATTATTTATTTTTATTATTTATTTTTACCTACGTGACTTTACCGAAAAAAACCTAAGAGTACAAATCTTCCACGTTAGACAGACGTCGTAGAATAGTTGGGAGTACCCACACTTTACTCCAACCCCACATGACCTAACAATCGACTAATTGTTGCTGTAGTTCGGTTTAAATGGTCTACGTTCATACGACAGCACCCTGTTCCTGTTGTATTGTTATTAATGAAGCGTGGTCATCCTTTGGAGAGACTTCTGCAGGACCGACCTGCCTGGAGAAGAAAAGTATAGGACGGTGCAGTCCTCTGTGCGAGTAGGAGACGCTCCTGTGCTATCTTGAAGAGGCAGCAGCACAAATCTACCAAGGAAGGACGTGTGGCTGCACCTCAGAGCTCTACATCCTCGCTGACCTGTCCAATGTGCCACAGGGAATTCCGGGCTCGGATTGGCCTCTTCAGCCATCTGCGCACTCATCAAAACCCAACAAAATGACAAACGTGCCATGGTCATCATCAACTTTGATGGACGAACAACAAGAATAAGAAGAGGGATATTGTGGGACGTATGTCAATTGCTACCACATCAGAAATGTGGACATTGACGAGTGTGCAAATAAGCGTGGCGAGAGATGCACGCTAGAAATTCCACTTAGGGACTGGAAAATAAAGAATTGGATAACGGAGCGCACACACCAGTTGGGAGACACAATCCTGTTGATTTGCCATGGCAAGTAAGTGAGCAATGATGGCACGAGCCGCTTTAAGGAAGGATGACTGGTGATCGAGACGAACAGTACAGTTGGCTGCCAAAGTACGGAGCACACCCTCAAGGACGTGAAACAGAGGTGGAGCAATCTTGATTTGAAGCTTTCGTGACTGCAGGAATCCATAAAAAGTTTTATATTATTTTATTTCTACCTACGTGACTTTACCGAAAGAACCAAAGAGTGTAGAGGTGGAGCAGTGAAGAATAGACACCAGCAGGAGCTGCATGGATTGTTGCATCGAGAAACCATCTCGATTACAAACTAATTTTTTTGGGACTGATTTTTGTGTTTAGTTTGTTGTCCCCCCCCCCTGTACCTTCGAGTAGCACGGTTGGCTATGTACGGTGCGAAATAAGTTCAACATACAGATGGGGATGGCTTGGGATGTAATCATGGATGATAACGATGATGACTCAGGGCTACTGACAAATTAAAAAAGCACCCTCCAATCCATTTTCTTTGCTTGGGGCAAGGAGACACTGACTTTAATAATTCATGGTCTACATAAGAGAAAGGTGGGAGTCCATTTACACCAACTTTCATGCGGATATAACCCTAGCCAGAATATATCACCGTGAGTACACGAAGGTTCTATTGTTGGGGAGAGTGTAATTCTGGACATAGCATTGAAAAAGATTACACTCCAATAAATTACTACTGTATACTGTAACTAGGAACCAGCATCAGTCGTAACCATTTGCTTTCAGTGTCCCGCTTGCTAAATGTAAGGTCAATATTTCACAACCGAGTCGACTGTATTTTAGATACCATTCAGGGGTAAGTCAACAGGGCTTGGCCGATCTCTGCCGTGAGACAGTGGGGGAATGTCTCCACTGACTCGTCACCGCCAGCAGAGATGAGAAACGACTGCACAATACAATAAAACATCGCAGAGTCGGACTCGGCTATGTCAGAATTCGGGGGTAAGCCGAAACGCTTTTAGACTTCAATACAATATTAAACGAAAAAAAACCCTAAGAGTATGAATCCTTGCAGTCACGAAAGCTTCAAATCTAGAGTTAAACAAATTAAAAACGTAAACCAAAACAATGGCTTTGACGGAGCCACCAATTATGCAGTGCACCTCCGATTAGCACGGTTGGCTACGTACGGTGCGAAAGAAGTTCAACATCGGGGACATACATTGTGCGGTAGGAGATGGTGTGCGAGTTTGCACAAGCAATCCTATAATATATATAAATGCGTGCTGTGTACACAGTACGGGCAGATGGGCCCATTTCCTTCGTGAATGGAAACTTTAAAGACAAGCCACAGAAGTAGTGCGTTTGTGGCAAATGCAACGCAAAACTCTGGGCCGTTTACAAAACCGCGTGAAGTCTACAATCCTGCAACCGAGGAGGAGGAGGAAAAGGAAAACCAACGCGAACTCTCCCCTGAAGAAGCGTCGTCGTGGTAGAGCAGACGACCTAGACAGTGGCATTCAGCTCGTGGTCGTAGTGTAATCAAAACGCAAGAACAGAACGTCCTGTGCGTATCTGGTGTATGCATGTAGTGGGGGAAATGCTCCCTGAAACGCCACGTCTGAACTGAACTTTAATTCCTGCATCGTGAATTTGTCATTTCATACACATTGGCAAATTCAATCGTGAAATAATCATTCTGTATAAGCAAACAATATAGTTACGATATTTTGCAAAGTGGACAATTGGATTGCCGTCGTTAAATAAAACAAAATGTCAATCTCCGTTGGCAGTGGTGCACAAGAATAAACAGAAAGAGAGATTTGTCAATAACAGGGCCCTGCAAGGAGATAGCTAAAACGTGTGATGGTTCGCGCTGTCTTTCTTTAACTGCAGTCCGCTTACAATCCTGCCACAGAGAATCATTACCCACTTGACGTTACGATGCTTACAAGCAACGCGCTTGTGGTCTGCACAAAGGGCCGTCCATAAATGACGTCACGCGATTTTTGAGATTTTTGACCCCCCCCCCCTCGTCACACGGCGTCACAAAAAGTCAGACCCCCCCTCAAATATGACGTCATAAAGCTCTGCCCCCCCTCCCCCAAACCATATTTCCATTTTGAAAATTAAACATGCTTCAAATCGCTTTAAACTATTGTCATTGACGCGCGTATTTAATGTGGCGCTGCACTCTGATGTTGTAGGAGTGTTGTTATAACAATTAGTGTTGTTATAACAATTCTATATTTAAATTTTGATTTAAAGCTTTCGTGACTGCAGGGATTCATCTTCTTGGTTCTTTCGGTAAAGTCACGTAGAAGGGAAGTAATAAAATAATAAAAATAATAAAAATAAAACATAATAAAATTATGTTTTATTTTTATGTAAATTATGTTTTCTTTTTATTATTTTTATTATTTTATTACTTCCCTTCTACGTGACTTTACCGAAAGAACCAAGAAGATGAATTCTATATTTATTTAAAGTTGCGCATTTTGATGTGACGTCACATTTCTCACCCCCTCCCCTCGTCACACATCGTCACAAATGTCTGACCCCCCCCCCCCATAGGTGCGTGACGTCATTTATGGACGACCCCCAAGACGACATAGCGAAAGATGGCCCATTTGGCCGAAGCGTCGCTTATATTAATACACACGTGTGTGTGTGTGTCCCTATGATGGCTGTGTCGTTCACGAATGTGTTTAGCAACAATACTTTGTCATTACCGACGTAGGTTTTGCTGCCTGGCTGGAGGGAAGAAGAAAGGTTGGGGAGATTGCCACGTCCATAGGACATTGTGGGCTGATCGTATTTAAATGATTAAACAAAGCAACACATTCATTTACAGTATAACACTGACTAAAAAATAAAAAAAACACAATCTGCGACGTTTTCGCCAATGGCTCTTCCATTAAACATTCAACGTTGGCCCAACGTTGCATGTGGTTGAATCCGTTGGGCCAAAGTTGACACCAACAACATTCCACATTTAGTGGGTTCTTCGTTGCACCTAAACAGATGAATTACTCTCGATTTGAAGCTTTCGTGACTACAGGAATCCATACTCTTTGGTTCTTTCGGTAAAGTCACGTAGGTATAAAATAAAATACCTACGTGACTTTACCGAAAGAACCAAAGAGTATGGTATAAACTAAAATACCGAGGTGACCTTACCGAAAGAACCAAAGAATACAGATGATTTACGTCTGTTCATCATCATCTGTTTACGTGACACAAATAACCCAGTAAACGTGGATAGTTGGCCACAACCGATCCAGATGATTCACGTGCCACAAAGAAGGTCCAATTTATACACGGGGCTTCTGTTTAAGGCGGTGTTTATTGACGAGACTGCCTTGCAATTATCGCTTGCGCACAGCCAAGCAAGCCAGACGCAGTACCGTGTTACTTCGCTCAAATAAAAATTAACCCGTAAAAACAAAGTTTTTCACTCTAAATCCTTTATATGCGTGGCGGCTTGAGTCCTCTCGTCCTCTGGCTTGAGATGGCTGCCACCTATGGGTCAGATGATTGTCTGCCAGCATTAAACAATTGGTAAATTAAATATTTTTGTAAAAAAATCCCTAAACAGTGTAAAATTTTGGACAAAAAATTTTCACGAAAATTAATTGTCACGCACAACGAGTCTGTGTGGAAAATGTCAACTCGATTGGATCACGGGAAGTGGGTTAAAAAACGACCGAAAGATTTACACGGTCGTAAGCAAGCAAGCACGCAAGCAAGCGAACTTAATATAAAGGATTAAAAAAAGTTTACACTTACAAAATAAATAAATAATAAGCGGGTCGGCTTCGTGGTGGGGTGGTCGCTTGTGCCAAGGCGCACGTCGCTATTACCCCCTCGTCACCCCCCACCGCGTCACCACCCCCCCTCCCTCACGCGTCACCCCCCCCCGACCCGCATCCCCCCCCCCCCCCGCATCACAAGCGAGCACGCGCGCCTCCCCTCTCCCCCCTCGCCCTCCCCCATTTCTCACCCCACCTCGCGTCTCGCCCCTTCCCCCCCTCCCACATTCGTGCCAACCTCTCCCTGAATGACCCCTCCCCCTTGAGTGTGCCCCTCCCCCTTACGTACCCCCTTCTTTTAGCCCCTCCCCCCTAACGCCTCTGCCCCTTCCCCCCACCTCACGCAACCCCCCCTCGCCCCTCCCGCAATCCCTCAACGTCCCCCCGCGCCCCTCCCCCCACCCCCCACCACCGTCAGCACTCAGCATCATGGCGCCCTTCCCGGAGGAGGTGGACGTTTTCTCGGCGCCTCACTGGCGCATGAAGCAACTCGTTCAGCTCTACTGCGACAAGGTGCGGCAGCCTCGCCACACGGAACGTCGTTCGCTTGTAAAGTCGTGAAATTAGACGTTCGTACGACGGCAAACATTTACGTGTGAGGGACGTTGTTTTTTTTGTATGAGGCCTGGTGAATCGCGTCGCCTTTCCAAAGCCTCGGGCCCTGTCCGTCACCTACGTCGCGCGTGTAGTATTATTGTATTCGGTCGATAGTTGTTTTTTCTCCCAACGTTCGTTCTTGAAGTTATTCTTTGAGTGACGGTTTAAAAAAAATTGGGGGGGAAGGGTCAAATTGCGCGATTTGTGAGCGTGAAGTTGAGCGCTTTTGAAGGTGAAGAGAAAAATGTGTCTTTTTTTAGTTGCTTTGGGGCCTTGCGGAAAACGGAAGCCTACGGTCTTGCTTAGATGATGGCCCTGGAATGAGTGGCGTAGGCAGGGCGGGGCGGGTGTGCTGAGGGGCGAGCCCGTGGCTGCGGATGAAGTCAAGTTGAATGTTGTTTTTTAGTGTCTATTCGAAGGCTTGCGTCTCAGAATGTGTTTGTAAATGACGTTGCGACCCCTCACTCCACCCGCACAAATGGTAATTTTGGTTTGTGGACACGCATTACGAGAGCCTACGGCCAAATCGCGCGAAATGCCCTGTATCCGGGGACATCGGAAGTTAACACAAAATAACAACTAAACATTGCGTCAACACTGCTTTAAAATACAAAAAAAATATATACACATTCGGCAACGTTCCGGGCAATGACCCTTCAAAACGAATAGAGAGCCCACATATATAGCGTTGATAAGGGTTGAAGTTTGAACTTAACACCATGGGGACTGCGAATTATATTTAAAAATGTTTTCCTGAATACCGGTTTTTAAATAGCATCAACTAATTTGTTTAATTTAGCAGCTGGACAGCATGGAGTCTGGATAGTCATTAAAGAGGCTACCACCTTGGACAAACATGTCAAAAGGACTGCCGTTACGTGATGCGCAATGCAGACAAAAACGTTGTATTTTCTGCTTTCACGTCAATGCTTCCCACCTTCAACCCGCACTGACGAGCGTATTTATAGCTCATCGGATTCCTCCAGTATCAATAAATATTCTCATTTTGAAATAAAGTACGTATGCTTCAATAACGTTGAATACCTACGGTGTGTCCCGAGGTCTCTGGCACGAGTTTTAATTTTCGTTCATGTCATTAAAACTCACCGTAAAGAGGTCTGTGATAGTGATCTCGTGACCTCACAGTAAACATTTAAATGAATAAAGCCACAGTGACGTCGCTTTACAGAAGAAAAACAAACACGAGCTTAAATTTTAAAACCGTTTTCGTGCTTAAATAAGCTTCAAAATCGCGTCCGACGGTCTGACGTATACGGTTTTTGTATTCTCTTGCTTGTTTATCTTGGTATTGTAGGAGTATCCACCGCCGACTCATGGTTTTGGGCAGACGATGAACACCGCATCACTGGGTGTATTTAGAAAACACCTTGATTTATGTTGAGCTATTTTCACCTTCAAGAAAATAAACCAGATTAGTGCAACCATTGTAAGAAAAGTAAACACAAAATGTCCAAAACTGTCCCTGCAGATATGGGACAAAAAAATCATACGTCAGCACTTGTCTATAAACTCATCCCTAATCAAATATCCTAACCCCTAAAGCGTAACACTCAAAATGTATTTCCCCAGATCCTAACCCCTAAACCATAACCCAAAAACCTAAGCTTATACGTATCCCAAACCACAACCGCTTGTATGTTTGTTGATCTTATTTCGAACCGTACGTGGCAAAATCGTACTAATCCTGCATGCAAACGAAAGTGGAATTTTATATTTCAACTGAACCCTTAGGAATATATTTGATTAGATGAAAAACCTCTTCTGTGATTGTATATAAAAAGTGACTCAGTAGTGCCACAGACAGTTTCTTTCCCAGCACCTGCATTGACAATAGTTGCCTTGAAGTAAACGTCGACGATATAACAGAATAATAAAAATAAAACATAAAATAATTCTCACGACGTTTCGGCCACAACTTCAGACGCTGTCTTTCCGACAGACCTGTTCTTCACCTGAGGATGGCTGCTTGCGTTGTGGCCAAAACGTCGTGAGAATTATTTTATTATGTTTTGTTTTTATTATTTTATTATTTCCCTTCTACGTGACTTTACCGAAAGAACCAATAAGATGAATCCCTGCCGTCACGAAAGCTTTAAATCGAGATATAACAGAAATTTGGATATCAGCATATGGGCCTTGTGGACTGTTGTTTTCCAGTAACATTTGAGCAGGTGAAACTGAGGCTGGTTTTAACTTTGACGTTAAGAAAATTATCTTGGATTGTCTGATGTCTTAGGCAACAGCCCTCCACAGAAACTGTGGGTGACTGATGAGACCCTTCATCAATGTCTATACAAAAGGGTGTTGGTTTATAAATCACCGAGAGATTAAATAATGTACAGCCCTTTGTCAATCCACTGCTTAATGAAGATCTCCACACACCATGTTGGTCATGTGCCTTTGATCACAATTCACACTGGTCAACGTATCTTTGTGGTGTTGCCTATGCAATTCCATCTCAAGACACAGGGCACATTGTTGGGGTGGGGGGGGAATATGTACAGGTACTACAAGGGCAGATAGAAAGGAGATAAAAGTATAAGGTGTCGATGAAACTAATAAAAAAGACAGCAAGTCGTATGAAGAGAAGCAGAGGGTCTTGAGCTTGGATTTTACAACCATTCCTCGAAAAGCATATTAAACCAGTATTCAAATACTGTCCCGAAAACTATAATTCACTTAAAAGGGTATTTGTATTTTTTGGTTGAGTCCGTTTAAAATGTTATATTAGCGCACATGTCTCACGTCAAAATGCCTTGGTGGCATAACGAGAGGTGCATGTTTTGATGTTTAGCCTCATGCCAAGAACTCCACTGTTCGTGTTGCACAACTCTGCTTGTGCTTGGTCATGGCAGTGTAGTGCAGTGCGCAACGCTTGAGATAAAATGCAGCACTGTATTTACAGAATGCTCCGTGTGTTCTGATAGAAAGTGGCAAATTCAATTGCTGTTTGCAACCTTATTGTTATAGTTTTCATTTTCACCAGAGCAGTTTGACATGGTTCAAATCAAACTAAAGAAGAGTGGACCACCAGCTATATCCCCCCGGAGAACATTATACAGCATCTCAAGCACTTTAATTAGAAATTCCTTTGCACAATGCACATACAACTTCAGAAAACATGAAGTGAAATCTGGTTATAAGGTACATCAGATACTTTTGGCATGAACTTTTTTTTATAAAAACCTCGAAGATTTCCGAGAAAATGTTAACTTATAAAAACGTTAATATTCGCGTTGACATAAAATGTACATAATCAAAATTTGTTTTGCTCTATGCTACAACATATAACTAAACGTTGGGTATTGGAATGTAATGGGATCAATGGAGTGTGGTATCTTCTTTATGATTGGCTATGACAACGCCATCCAAACTGCGTCAGACAAGCCAGCATACACAACATTTGTGCTGGCAATAAGGAATATTTGTATTTGTTTGCTTGTGTTGTATGTGCACGTTTTCCTGGAGAATTGGCATGCCTTAGTGGACTGTAATGTGCAGCAGGTGAGAGGGATTGATGTGACTGTATTATTCATAATCAACGTTTTTGGGTTTAGATCGCGTTATTTATAAATGTGTCGTAACCCTCCACCACCCGACACGGCCAATCAGTAAAAAATGTGTCACGTTGACAAAGACAAATAGTTCACTGCTTTAGCCCACCGGTGTGTTGAAGCCACAACATTTACAATTTGGCTTCAACACACCGGTGGGCTAAAGCAGTGAACTATTTGTCTTTGTCAACGTGACACATTTTTTACTGATTGGCCGTGTCGGGTGGTGGAGGGTTACGACACATTTATAAATAACGCGATCTAAACCCAAAAACGTTGATTATGAATAACATTGGTCGCGAAAGCCTACTAGTTAAACTGACTGTATTATGTTTACATTGTATGTTGTGGGGAGCGTTTGCACAGTGGTTAGCATCCTGCGTGACGAACCCAGCAACCCAAGTTCGATTCCCACTCATGGCCAAACTAGGGACGAAATTGGGTCTCGGCGCGGCCTCATTCAAGTAATTCTAGATTTGAAGCTTTCGTGACTGCAAGGATTCATACTCTTAGGTTTTTTCGGTAAAGTCACGTAGGTAAAATAAAATAATAATAGAAATCAAATAATAAATCACGGCGTTTCGGAGGCAACACAAGTCTCCGTCATCAGGTGGGACCGTCACAGCTAAATTTACTCATTCAAGTACATTTTGCGTTGTGTAAACATCAGCAAAGGAGAGACAAAGGTGGTTGGGCGTGGTGCTGGCCACCTACCCCCTCGTTTGTCGCGGCAGCCTGCATAGGTGCTCGCTAACAGTACGTGCCAATGGTATGTTGAAGGCTATATGTAGGATGATGGTTAATTGTATATATTTTGTGATGTATACCGATATGTTTCAGTATGTGTTTTATATGTATGTGTATGTTTTATGATTTGTTTTAATTTCAAAATCGGAAATTACAGGTTTCCTGCATATATGTTGCAACTATATTTCACGAAATTGACATGCTCTCGTTTAGCCTGGTAGACTTGAGAAATTTCTGTTAGCCAACACCTCTTGAGGCTGGCACTGCACACAAATTAGGTGATGTGTTTATCATCACACGCAGCTGCATTTTGTATCTGTCCTCTTATCCACGCATTAGACATTGTTTTGCGGCTGAGTGAACTTTGGAGGTTTAGAACATGTTTTTACATATTTTGGCATGGCCACCATTCACCATTATGCCTTTTGCAAAGACAAAAATCACATTTTAGCCTTAGACTGTTAGGAAATTTGCTGTGAATGAGCATGTATTAAGACGAGAATGGCATATTGTGGTCGTTTGTAGCCAACACCACACCAAGACTACTTTTGTGTCCGTACTCATTCAAGTCTTACTCATTTAAGGCTTAGTTGACCTCGAAGGTCCAGGCCAGTTCAGATATAGTTGTTTCATCCTGTACTATATGTAGTGGGTTTCCCTTGCGGGGTTTTTTTTCCACACAGAAAACATTCCTGCATTGAATTGGATGAACATCTCGTGAGGGGATACTCCCGTACGAATTAGCTTTAAATACGGGAAGGCATTTTAGGATGATTAAAATACAATAGTTTTAATTAAAAATGGAAACATGTTATACTGTTATGGCCAGGAATCATACCCGGGATGGTGGGTTCTTAGAATGGCACTAAATATGGCCCCACTGCTCATAATTGCCTTTGCAAACTTGGCTACCACCTATAAATGCCGGCATGGCGCACACAGTAATGTGGCCAGAACCACGCCTGGCCATTTTCGTCTCCCAGTGCTGGTGTTTAAGATAATCAACATGGGTGAGGTCCAACACTGGTTCAGATGTTCGTCACTCATGTTGGTCATTATTGATAAGCAAACAGATCACTGGGTTTGTAGGCTAGTATGAGAACCACTATGCCACCACTCTGCCATGCATGTACAAAAATATCAATGCCACTGCGGGCTACAGCTGTTGATGCCAACACACCTCGCCAATACTTTCTACCTTGACAAATATCACAGGTGTACACTAGATATGTAACTTCTATGATCTACCCTATATACATACGAAAGATAAAAATCCCCTGTATCGCCATACCGACTGTTGGGTTAAGTGCTGTTGGTGAGCACCTATTAAGGCCGGCATGGCACACGAGGGGGTGGTTGGCCAGGACCGCACTTGCCTGCCTTCGTATCGCTAATGCATCTATGGTGGTCATATGCGGAAATCGAACTGCGATGCCGGATTTGCAACGCAGTTTGTTAACCACTAGATTACTGCTGCTGTGAGATATGTACACATACACAACGTTCGTTTTGTGTCCATTGTCCCCTGCAGCTGTCAACAACCAACTTCTCCAACGACAATGACTTCCAAACGCTCCTCCGCTCGCTGTGCGCGACCTTCCGCGAATTCAAGACGCACGAGCAAATTGAAAACGAGTGCATCATGGCCCAGCTGAAGTACCGCCTCGAGCGGTGTGCTGTCACCAACAACCTCGTGTATAAAGTGCACTCTGACAACAAGCTCACGGAGATGCTGACCCTCTTCGAGAAGGGGCTGAGGAATGCCAAGGTACCAGCCTGAAGTATCTTTGCCTTTTAAGCACCATTTTATGTATGTATGTTCAACTTCTTTCACACTCTATGTAGCCAACAGTGCTAATCAGAGATAGTGGGGGGTGGGGAGACAACGATAACATCCGAACATCAACATCGCCATGGCCAAACACATTCCTGCGGAGGGAGCTGGTAGGAACGTTGGGTTGCTCGGTCAATTGCCAGGGTCAACGGCGGCGTGGTGTATTCCGCAAATATGCCCGACTGTGAGGGCGGGCGCAAGCCGGCGTGAGTAGGTTAAACGTTGAGTTTTATAAAGGCACCACGGGGTGACCAGCCCCTCCCCACCCAGCCCCAACCCTCCTACCCCCCACCCAGCCCCACCCTCCCCACCCAGCCCCTCCCCACAGTGTGTGTGAATGGCATTGCTCATTTTCTCTAGATGCTCACAACTCTGACCTTTTAACACAAAGTCGTGTATTTTGGTCTCGTGTACACTCACCTTATGTACATTAAAACACTTTCGCAGGTTTAAAGCAGTTAGCACTTACATTTTTCCGAAAACCTATTTGTGTTGTGCGACTGTAATCTTCTATAGATGTTCACTTAGCTAACATTTTCACATATCCACCTGTACTTCAGTCCCCAGTGAGTTAGATATAGTTCTGAACCAGCTTGATGAAATATTCATAATTGATTTATATATATTTATATTTATTACAATATAAAATATAATTGCAATGGCTATTAGTGAACAGATTCTAAGTTCTTAAATTGGTGCTTAAATAATATTGTATTGTTTCATTGGCTAGTATTAGTCTTAGTGTATTTAAAATCTCAACCACTGAATATATTATGTGTGCAAACAACACTTTGCTACTTTAAGATAAAAGTGATTGAGTGCTCAAATTTGCATTATGGCAGTGCGCTTATCTCCTGTTTACAGTCGTAAACCAGTGGTCGAAACCCCATATTCATATGTATCTTTTGACTTTTGCACAGTAATACTTCTGCATCACCCCAGCGGGCTGGTTGGAATTGAACTGATAATCTTCCTATTGCTCGCCGCTCACTCTACAGCTTAGCTATTTGTATCTACTTTTCAGTTACTAGTTGGCTAAAAAGCACATTGGACTCTGCACCATATATTGCAGAATTATACAATTCTATTTTTATAAAGTTGAGAAATATCTTATTTTGTTAATAAATAACCACAGTGAAGTGCTTTGTCGGAGCTGCCTCTGGGAGTGCAAGCCGTCCAGGAATAATGTTAATTTCCCTCTCTTTGTCTCTGTCACAGGCAAGGTAGAGCTGCCAATAAGTAAATGGCTGCACTCTGTAAATATGCGTTCCTGGATTTTTCTGTTTGCGCATAGTCACTTTAAGATGTTTTCTTGTTCAGATTTTTGTTTTTTGTTTGTTGCGGTTGCACCCGATTCAAGAGCCGAATGGCTCACAGGGCTATACCTAATAAATGAAACCGAAAACTGAAACTGAGCTTGAGATTACATTTACTAAGAGCCCCTTATACATCTATAGGATGCTACATTTAATCAACATGTGACTTGATTGTATATTCTATTGCTTCATTGGCTGTCGCCTGATGAAGCTAGTTGTAATTACTGGCGAAACGTCGTACTCAGATTGTAAATGGTGTGGCTTTGCTCGACAACACACTGGTGTGCTGTACTAGTAACGAATTGGCATGCTCTGTTTACGTGACAAATGTTACTAATTGGCTGTGTCGGGTGGTGGCGGGTTTAACGATACATTTATATTATGGTTGATTATATAGTTTGTTTTTAAAACAAATGTACATAATCCATATTCTGTAGGCTATGAATTAATAATGCAGTGGCCACAGCTAATTGCAGTTATCTTATTAATTTTTTTTTTCATTATTTGCATCAAATGGCTATTGTAAAGTTATAAAAACTACATCCTCTTAAATGTGTAACTGCATTTACATCATCTAAAGAACATTTATATTCTGTCATTTTATTAAGATATGCTTTTTAGGATTTTATTGATTTAAGCATGTTCACTAAAATATGGCTGTACAGTACAGTTTTGAATATTTGATAGTTAAACAATAAGCAGTGGAAGAGTTGTGTTTACAGACTTTCAACATCATTTCCTGCAAAACAAATTGTCTATCATTGCATCATTGTTTAACCTGGCATTGCCCACTTTCATGGTCATTTCTGGGAAAGTGGAAATTGTCCGCAATGAACACAGCAGTGTTGGTCTACGAGAATTAAGTTTATCTTTTAGAAACTTTTGTAAACCATTCGATTGGCAAGACTTGAGGAATATTTAATTGTGCAGTAAATATAGTCTTGGTAAGAATGTTTTTAAGTGCTGTGTTTATGAACTCATTACTGTGATTTTAGCTCTGGAGCTGTGGCTTCCAGTCTAAAGATAATTGTAATGCACATATCTTAAATGGGTCAAACATGATACTGTTTATTTTTCCATACATACTTTAGTTATCTTGACTATAATGAAAGCTGGTATTGTGTTTTTGATCAGTAGCCATAGGAACCACGTGATGTTTTGCCATTGCCAGTTGGTTTGCCAATTTTCAAAATCTGCCTTGCGCAACGTTTACAAAAAGATGATTTTTTTCCTTTCAGAATGAATACGAACGAGTCAACTATGGCATGCAGCTCAAGGAACAACTGGAGGAATTCACAAGGGATTTTATTCCTCACATGAAAGAAGAGGAGGAGGTGAATATCACCAACTTGTATTGAACCTGCCAGATTAATGCCCCCGTAGACTAAGCTACTTGGACAATCTTTAAAGTACAAGAAGTGTACAGGTTACCCACTTTATCTTTTATTATAGTTTTAGTGGGTGTGCCCAGTGACTGTACAACGTAATGGCCCCGACGCTTAGTAACATGACTGGATGAGTAAATTATATGGTTGCTGGGCTGAGGTCCAAATGAACACTGGGTAAACACGTCTGGCAGTGTATTAAAGGTTAACATTCATCGTTGTTTACCAATTGAAACTGGCTAGTCCGCCTGTGGAAAGAGTCTGCTGTGATTGAATCATCCCACTATCATGAGAAGTGGTGATAAGAAAACTAGAGGAAAAAAATAACAAGCAGTTGCTTCCTCCTATTGCTCATGCTTTGTTGCCAAAGATTGTTACTGAAAACGTAATTTAAACCACATGGCTGACAACATTAAAAGATTAACAAAACTCATCCGCATCTGAACATTATCCTGTTGCCTTTGGCGTTTTGAAACAAAATGATTTGCTTGCCATTAGTCTTGTAATACAGAGCGTATAATCTGCAAATTAATCTATTGAACAATTAATTATGTTAATTACCGCAAGCAGATGTGATGCGGTTTAATTATACTTAATATGTTTTAACTGCTAGTGGCCCGTTTCCATTTTTTTTATAAATATAGCCAGCGTTCATCTTCATGTAATGGATGCTGCTTGACCCACGCTCATTTTGGCTGTGCCTGATTGGCAGGTTTTTCAGCCGCTGCTCATGGAATACTTCACCTACGAGGAGCTCAAAGTGATCAAGTCGACAGTGATAGCACAGCATTGCTCTAACGGATCGCAGTTTGCGCAGCTGCTGAATGAGCTGAGGCAGGCTCGCGGGCGTGAGAAACTAGAGCTGGACAGCAAGGAGGAAGAAAAGTGCAAGAGTGAGTAGACTAACATGACAGAGCAACCCACCACATTCATCATTACCACCCCCCAATAACACAACATATGCTCAACTTAATCTGCTAGCATTATAGGCAGTGGCTCTTTTTACACGCTTTTATTTAACTCACTCCATCTGTTGCCGTATCCTTAAAAAATCTTGTCACTCAATTTTTACCCACTTCCCTATGTGCTATATACTGCAAACTTGGTGTACTTATGTCATACTGATGACAAGACTATATTCTATCATAAAAAATGAATTTTTTTTTTACATTTAACACACTTTTATTTAACTCAGTGTTGTCGTATCCTCAAATCTTGTAACTCTATTTCAACCGTCTTCCCAATGTCGTATCGACTGCAAACTTGGTATAGGTATGTCATACTGATGACAATACTATATTCTATCACATTTTTAAACAATATTTTTTACGGGTCTAATTGTCCACGCACAACTCACGTTGCCTGTAAATCACCACGGTCCCTTACGCTGTGGCAAGCTGCGGGGCCACTTCCTGGAGTGGTGGAGTTCTGCCATTACGAGTAGGGTACATTTCATTAAAGCGTGTTTAAAAAAAAAAGTATTTTAAATATTTTTTGCTCTGAAGGAAGGCTGATGCCTGTTGGTTGGCGTCTTCTATATTGGTATATTTTATTTTACATTGTGATTGTCAGGGCTGCATTGACAACACCGGGGGCTTTGGGGCTTCAACCTGGCACCTCATTCTGGGGGCACCCCACAAATGGATGTACTTCTTTATAATGGTTAAAATACAATTGCATTTTCTTGGTTCTTTTGGCAAAGTCACGTAGAACGGAAGTAATAAAATAATAAAAATAAAACATATGAAAATAATTCTCACGACGTTTCGGCCACAACGCAAGCAGCCGTCCTCAGGTGAAGTAGTAGTCTCTGAATTCAGACGCTGTCTCCCCGACAGACCTGGTCTTCACCTGAGGACGGCTGCTTGCGTTGTGGCCGAAACGTCGTGAGAATTATTTAATTATGTTTTATTTTTATTATTTTATTACTTCCCTTCTACGTGACTTTACCGAAAGAACCAAGAAGATGAATCCCTGCAGTCACGAAAGCTTTAAATCGAAACACAATTGCATTTGCATGATGAAATAGCCCCTTGGTAATTTGGTAAAGCACAATAGCATTAATCTTTTTTTATTCTTACCAGTTATGTGCAATATTTGAAATCGTTTCGTTTTAACTTTGACGTAGCTTTACAGTTTTTATATCGCAAATAAAAACTAGAACTAACATAACGAAGGTGAATAACAAGGGTGTTTTTGACATTGGCCATAGGTGGTGGTGAAGCAGTAAAGAGAGGGAATTGAATATATATAAAGAGGGCCCCTAAAAACTTGAATTCCTTGGACCCCCCTCGAACTTAATCTAGCACTGGTGATTTTGTACCACTGACAATTGTGTAACTGGCAATGCATTCCTTTATTTTCTATTTTTTTTTCAGAGAGACTACTATGGCATTCTTTATTGATATGCCCTTGCTGTTGTTGAATTTTCATGTGTGTCTCTTGTTGGTGGTTGCATATGCAAAAGCACTATGAAATTGAGTGTTCTGTTAGCAAGTATTTATTTTTCGCTAAGTGCATTCAAAGATTCCATACTGCCAGCACTGAGTACTCTTATACTGGTAGGAACCTCCTGGTTACACCAGCCCACAGGGGATTATTGTGTCTGTCGTGCAGGGAGGGGTTGGGTGGGGAGGGTGGGGCTGTGTGGGGGGTGGGTGGGGCTGGGTGGGGAGTGGCTGGTCACCCCGTAGTCCCCTTATAAAACTCAACGTTGAACCTACTCACGCCGGCTTGTGCCCGCCCTCACAGTCGGGCATATTTGCGGAATACACCACGCCGCCATTGACCGAGCAACCCAAAGTTCCTACCAGCTCCCTCCGCAGAAATGTGTTAATGGGTGTAGATAAAGCACGAGTGGCCATTTGCTCAATCGGGAAACCAGTTGGTGCCTGTGATGGTGGTGGGTCGTCATTCTCAGTGAGAAAAGTCTTACAATGGGCATATTTTTCTTGTTTCCACCGTTTGAACTAAGGTGTCTTCCCAAATGTTCTGCATTGTAACGTATAAATATACAAAAGCCCGTTTCCATTTAACAATAATCATTCATTAGTCCATCACCCTATATGCCTTCCAAACTAATATTTAACAGCAACATGTTCTTAATAAGCCAATTTGGGGCAACTTTCCGAGTTTTAGAAGCAGCCTGCCCTGGTAAACAAATACCGCTTGGTTGTTCAATTCTATTGGCATCATACACCCATCTAAGACATGGTGTTCATTCAGTACAAATCGGCAACAATGGAAGGACATGTTCATGCCATTGTGGATATAGTGAGTAACATATAAATAAATTGACTAAAGGCTGACTTTCTACGTAAAAAAATAACGAAAAAGATGTTATCCTATAGGCTGTGGGTCTTCCAGATCGATGGTTGTTGTATATTGTACGTTTTTTTGGTAAATTTAACCAAATACATTCACCCACAGAGGTGAAAGCTTAAGCTTGGTCATCTGTTAAAAAGATATGTTTCTGGCCCGTGGTTACACATTCGTAGGCAAGTAGACCCGCCGCAGTCTAAACATGAATATAATCGTGTAGGAAGGGGTGTAAAAGTGGAAACCGTGCTGCATAGTGAAAATAAAATAACCCCCCATGATTAAGCCACCACAACCCATGTGTATTGATTTACATTTATAGTAGGAGTATTATTGAAATGGCAATCATGTTCAAAGTACTTGCAGTTCTCAAATGTAACAATGCAAGCGAAAACTGCACCATTTTGTGAATGAGACAGGATGTAAACATCCTCGTAACTGCTGTAAAATAGCCAACATCACATTGCCCACTTGATAAAAGTATACAAAATAATTGGAAACCACTGCTACGTGACAATTTAAACGTATTTGGCATGAAATAGCACCCTCAGGCAGTCTTTTATTGGCAGAGCATATGTAACTTTCCAATTGCAAACTTGTGGGGATTTTTTGTGAAATGGCACTTTTCGCCTACGCTTACATAATATAACTTTATAACTCGTTACGCAAACACACACTTCTTCTTGGTTCTTTCGGTAAAGTCACGTAGAAGGAAAATAATAAAAATAAAACATAAAATAATTCTCACGACGTTTCGGCCACAACGCAAGCAGCCGTCTTTAGGTGGAGAACAGGTCAGCCGTCTGCCTTCTCGACAGACCTGTTCTCCACCTGAAGACGGCTGCTTGCGTTGTGGCCAAAACGTCGTGAGAATTATTTTATGTTTTATTTTTATTATTTTCCTTCTACGTGACTTTACCGAAAGAACCAAGAAGATGAATCCCTGCAGTCACTGAAAGCTTTAAATCGAAACACACACTTCCTATTATGTTTTTTCATCTTTCCGTGACACCCGTATGCAATTCGTTATTGTTATCCTTGTGCTTTCCATAAGGTGCCTCGGTGTCGAGCTCGCCCATAGGCCTCCTGCCACCAGAGGTTCTGCTGCAGGTGTTTGGTTACCTCGGAGTTCAGGATCTGTGCCGCTGCAGCCAGGTTTGCACCGACTGGGCTCTGGTGTGCAAGGACGGCTCACTGTGGAAACACCTCTACCCGACACGCTGGGCAAATGGTGGGTTTTTCTCCCTCTTCATCTTACGATGCTAGTCATACCATTGGTGTTTTACACACGTGAAATTTACCCCACAAAAATATATGTAAGATTATAACTCCCCAAAAGTTTGGCTCTGTTTTACATTAGAATAATAATGCTCAAAAGGAAATCTTCAGTCTCAAGATTTTTGTTTCAGAAGTGTCTTGATTTGGGACATTTCACCATTTCAATTAAGATTGGTTTGTTTGTGGGAGTAAACCAGGATACCCCCAGAAGAAAGCCTATGCACATGAAGGTAGAGCACTCAATGGTCCATAACTATGAGTTCACAAACCTAATTGCAATACTGTTCTCCCGGCCACCTCACACTCCATCAAGTTTGGAAGTTTACATAACTGTTGCCTCCAAAGTGCTGCATTTCAGGCATGCGTCACCATGGTCAGATTGAAATTGTGCCATCGTATCCAGTGAAGATGTAAAATTCATAAGATGTTTTTGGGTTAGATCGTGTAAATATATAAATGTGTCGTTAAAACCCACCACCGCCCGACACAGCCAACTAGTAAAGGTTGTCACGTGAACAGAACGTGGCCAATTCATCACTAGTACAGCACTAGTGTGTAGTGTATAGTGTAGTGTATAGTAGTGTAGTGTAGTAGTGTAGTGTATAGTGTAGTGTATAGTGTAGTGTACTAGTACAGCACTAACCGGTGTGTTGGAGAGCCAAGCCACAACATTTACAAACTGAATACGACGTTTCGCCAGTAATTACAACTAGCTTCATCAGGCGACAGCCAGATTTGTGGAGGTGTCTTACTGTTTAGTTCCTTATATAAAGACTCAGATGTTTTGTTTTTCCAAACATCTGGCTAGTTTATCAGTTACTCCCGCAATGTACGGTATTTTGATCGTTTTAATTACTTGGACAGTTTCAATGCTCTTGTTATTTGGTTTTGGTATCCAATGCCCTGTTGATTTGTGCATCATTGTAACCGTTCGTTTGTAGCGCTTCTTTAAAATTTTGATGATGTAAAATTGTATGGTGTGGTCACTGTGCAGAGATTACACCTGGACATTGATGCACAATAAAGTTTCATAGACGGATGCAATTTTTTTTCAACCAAAGAAGCCAGGTCACTGCCTCGTAGCCATTGACGAAGGGTAGAATGTTGAGAGTGAGGGTGCACATCCTGTGTGGCTCTGACGTTGGTTCTCTCTGATACAGAGGACTGGTACACTGGACCTCCTGAGGCGGTTGATGAGCAGGTGTCCGACGAAGACGAATCGTGCGACAGCGGATGGGGAGGCGAAACCACCATGCCGTACACTTTCCGTGATGAAGATGCAGACATCGATGAGTCCGGTGAGGGTTTGCGCAAAGTGTGTTGTGCGTCATTCGAATAGCCTACAGTGTGACTTTAGGTCACATTTCAAACTGTGTACCACAGTACATCACGGTCACCTTAATTATTCACCAGTCAGCATTTCAGATATTCATTAGGCTAGTACAGCAGCTGTCCACCGGCTCACCAACCTCAACATGAACATATAAACATTGCTGATCAACTCTCCACTATACCAAAGAAGGTTGTATTCAGGCATTAATCAATATTTTCTCCATTTATTATTTTTTCCTCTCTCTTGTCCAATGTTCAGAAAACGGCTTCCATCATTGATATGAATAACTTTGTCGAAAGTGTCTCCTCCGACTGCCCTTCTAATATGTAATTTGGTCCTTCATAATTTTAGTGTACCTTTTTGCTTTGCTAATTATTTATATTCTTTATAGAATGCTTTTATTACATTCATAGTCATGTTAAATGTAAGTAAAAAAATACGGCTGAAAAAATATTTTACGTAGAGCTGGGCACTGTCTCATGCTGTCTGACTTAAATTTGAAGATAACTACATTGACTTTTTCAGTTATTCAATGAGAATTCAATAAAATATGCCCTACGTTGATTTTTAAATGTTCTTATTTAAGGAAACCACAAACTTGCGTCAGGGAGAGCCTTTGACACACATCTTGGGTATATCTAAAATATTAGGAAGATGTTTTTTGCTAGCTGCTATACCAGTACATGAGGGACTGGAGAAAGAACATTGTTTAAGAGCATCAGCTTTCAGATGTAATCAAAGTGCTGTCATTAACATATTCCTGCGGAGGGAGCTAGGTAGGAACGTTGGGTTGCTTGGTCAATTGCCAGGGTCAACGGCGGCGTGGTGTATTCCGCAAATATGCCCGACTCTGAGGGCGGGCACAAGCCGGCGTGAGTAGGTTAAACGTTGAGTTTTCTAAGGGCACCACGGGGTGACCAGCCCCTCCCCACCCAGCCCCTCCCCACCCTCCCCTCTCCACCCAGCCCCACCCTCCCCACCCAGCCCCACACTCCCCACCCTCCCCTCCCCACCCAGCCCCTCCCTCCCCACCCAGCCCCTCCCTGCACGACGGACGGACACAATAATCCCCTGTGGGCTGGTGGAACCAGTGTGTTCCTACCAGTATAAACTGTATTACTGTCTTTTCCCCTACTTAGTTTCACTAGTTTTTTTATTGTTATGTTGACCCAGGGAAACCTCAATGAGTCTCAAGACTTTCGAGAGGGTCCTGCCAATGTTGTCAAATGTAATCCCAATCGAGTAAAGTGTATATGATATTTGGCCGATACCAGTTACAATGTATGTTTTTTGTAGCTATGAGAGGAAACCAAAGAATCCGGAGGAAACCCGTGCAGAACAGGGGGAGAACGTACAAACTCCACACAAAAAGGCGCCCGAGTCGGGAATCCAACCCAGGAATTTCTTACTGTGAGGCATAAATGTGGTTGCCAAAAAATATATAACAAAGCTGTATGATGGAACACTTTAAAACATTAACAGCTTACAATTATTGCACCTCGGTATGCAAACTCAAGGTTTCAGTTAAGGGGTTTGTGTTTTGTTGAACGTGTTATGTAATAATGTACCAATACATGCACATTGTCTTTAAAGTCTTATATCTTTGCTCTAAAAGCATTTAGATCACATGGGTATTAAAATTACTGTTGTATCACAAAAAAATGCCGTGTTTAAAACATTTCATTTTTCAGGGAGTGATTGTGATAAAGATGATGATTTGGAGCAGAACCAGCTTCAGCGGGAGTTGGGCTGTCTGAAAACTCTGGTTCAGTCCATCCTCCCTGTGGCTGGCCCGTCCGTCAAGTCTCTCGTGCTGTCGAAGAGCAAGGCCGCCAACAACTCGCTGGTATGTGTCAATTACTGGTAGGAACCTCCTGGTTACACCAGCCCACAGGGAATTATTGCGTCCGTCGTGCGGGGAGGGGCTGGGTGGGGAGGGTGGGAGGGGTGGGGCTGGGTGGGGAGGGCCTGGTCACCCCGTGGTGCCCTTATAAAACTTAACGTTTAACCTACTCACGCCAGCTTGTGCCCACCCTCGCAGTTGGGCATATTTGCGGAATACACCACGCCGCCGTTGACCCTGGCCATTGACCGAGCAACCCAACGTTCCTACCAGCTCCCTCCGCAGGAATGTGTTTTATTCCTGTCCCGGGAATCCTCATTTGATTATTATTAAGACCAACCTTTGCCTCTGAAGTATTTAATTATATGCGAGTGGCAACGCCCAGCTTCATATATTTATGCATTTTGTTTCTCATTGTATAACTATGGATAGGATGTTGTCACTTAGTAATACGTAATGACTGCAAATGTAAAAATGTGCAATCTGAAATGTGTTTTGTAGTTTAGGCAGACACAAATGCCTCAAAAGCCAAGGAGAAAACTGCTGGGTTGACATTTGCGGGCATGTTGATAGTTTTTATAGCTTACATGTGAAAGGGGGAAGATTAACTTCTACGCCAAGCTAGACTACTATGGTGGGTCACAAAGGCTTTCCTTTTTTGTTGGGACATGATGAAAATTGATGGTGCAGAACCAAGCCTTAAAGCCAGATGCACACTGGTGGGCACAGTTATGGTTCAGGATTTGCATGATAATGAGTGTGATACAATGTTATGTTTTTATTGTTGCAGGTTCAGCGAATTTTAAGCCTCTGCCCAAACCTGGAATATCTGGACCTGACGCAGACGAAGATATCGGATTCAGCATTTAAAAGGTTGTTAATTTGCAAAACTTACTTTTGGTATTTCTGTCTGACTGTTAGTTGGGAAAAACTATGTTGATTGACACAGCGTTAAAAACAGTAGGCTAATGTGATGATATAAGCCACACGAGAATGTCAACATCACCATCATCTCGATTGTATGGCAATAACTATAAAAACCCAAAAGGCATTTAATTTAACTGTTCACAATACGCTCACGAGACTCGGAATGTTGAAATCAACTTGTTTGCTCATCCATCATAGAGGTTTTTGGGTTAGATCGCGTAAATATATAAATGTGTCATTAAAACCCGACACAGCCAACTAGTAAGGGTTATCACGTAAACAACATGACAATTCGTCACGAGTACAGCACTAACCGGTGTGTTGGAGAGCCAAGCCACAACATTTACAAACTGAGTACGACGTTTCGCCGGTAATTACTAGCTTCATCAGGCGACAGCCAGATTTGTGGAGGAGTCTTACTGTTTATAGAGGCTTAGATGTGTTGACCTGCACCTCTGCGCTCTTGCACAATGTGGGGGGAATTACTGAGGCAACGTACATTATGCATGTGCATTATGCGAGCCCTTAGAACTTGTCCTTCCTGTCTATGGTTTTGGTATTCAATACCCTGTTGATTTGTGCATCATTGTAACTGTTCATTTGCAGCGCTTCTTTAACGTGTTGAATATCACTTCTCAGACTGTCACCATCAGACACTTTCTTAGCTCGATGAATGAGCGTCTTGATAAGAGCATATTTCTGCGGGGTGATGGTGTGACTCTGCATTCAGATAGGCGTTAGTATGCGTTTTCTTTCGGTAAACACTCTGTGTTATTTTACCATTTCTTCCTCGTCCGAGCAGAATATCCAGAAATGGTAGAGTTCTGTCAGCTTCCACTTCCATGGTGAACTGGATGGATGGGTTTTGCGAGTTGAGATGATTTAGAAATGCGTTCAGTGTATCTTTGCCGTGTGGCCAGACCACCAATGTGTCATCCACATATCTCCGAACAGATGGTTTTAGTGTGCTTGAAGCTATTGCTGTTGTTTCAAAATCTTCCATGTATCACAGGAGACAAAGGAGAGCCCATTGCTGCTACTTTCCTTTTGTTTATAGAAGTCACCTTGCCACAAGAAAGTAGGTGTTCTTTAGACAGTGTTCAGCTAGTCTTGGGATATCTTTGGCTTAACCTTTGTTCGTTACCAGAATGTCGAGTAATTTAATTGACTCGTTGACCGGAACCCTCGTGAACAGAGGTCACATTAAAACTTACGAGAACATCATTAGGGTTAAGCTTAATATCTTTAATTTTTACGAGATTTTCAGAGTTTTTGATGAACAAAGAAGTCCTACCGATGTAGGGCTGTATTTGTTTCGTTACGTATTGTGCTAATTTGTACGTGGCAGAGCCTATTGTACTGTGGGTCTTAATGGGACATCAGGTTTGTGAATTTTTTGTAGCCCATAAAGTCTTGGTGGTTCTGATGCCCTTGGTTTGATCAGGTATTGCTCTTCCTTGGGAATTGATGACTTGGCAATGATTGCTGTTGTTTTACGTCCCAAGGTGCTGTTTGGGTCTCGTTTAATTCATCGAGTAAATCTTTGATTTTATTATCCTAGTCCTCACGGGGCATCACAACAGTCGATCGGCCCTTATTGTGCAAGAGCGCAGAAGGGTAGTCAACACATCTACGCCTCTAAGGAACAAAACCGTAAGACTCCTCCACAAATCTGGCTGTCAGCTGATGAAGCTAGTTGTAATTACTGGCGAAACGTCGTACTCAGGTTTGTAAATGTTGTGGCTTGGCTCTCCAACACACCGGTGTGCTGTACGAGTGATGAATTGGCCACTGTTCTGTTTACGTGACAACCCTTACTAGTTGGCTGTGTCAGGTGGTGGTGGGTTTTAACGACACATTTATATTTGTACACGATCTAACCCAAAAAACCTCAATTATGGATATTGGTCACGAAAGCCTACGTGTAAAATTTTTGCTCGTTATCAAATGCTATTGAATGGATAACAATAGGTTACAAGGCCTAGTGGTTGATGAATATTTTTAAATAATAGGTGAAAGTCACTTGCCATTATTTTAGTTCGATTGGATAACACTGCAACTGTTTTGTATCTCTACCTTGGTGTCTCGTTTAAAGAAAAGCTAACATTACACTTTCTCAGTGCAGTTTCATTACGGATGGAGCCGTGGTGCAGTGGTTTAGACATATTGGCCAACAAATATGATGACCTTAGTTCAATTCCTGGCCACGGTTAGCTTCAGTGGGGAGTGATATCTAAACCAGTCCTGGACACTACCTTCTCCATTCCATGCACATCAGTGTGGTGAAGCATAGTCATGCAATCCACGTGGCTGACGAGGTGTGGGAAGGCCTTCATCCAGCAGTGGATTGACAAAGGGGGGCAACAATCGATTTAATGAAATGTTTTGTTGGATTCTACCAGCAGTCTGACCGCTGGTGCCAAACTGAAGCACCTGAAACACCTGGACCTGTCGGGCTGCGACATGATAACGGATGTGGCCCTGCACCGCATCTCGATGGCCTATGGGCACGCTGAGTCCATCCAAGCCGCTCGGCAGCGACCCTGGGCCCCGCAAGGTCATGGTGGAGCTGGAGGAGGTCAACAACAGCTGCCCTCTCCCACCCAACAACGACGGGGAGAAGGACATCAGCAACTGCACGTCCTTCACCAGCCAAAGCTCCACCTTACCACTGTGGGCATTAACGGCCGTCAATCTACTGGACATTGAGGAGATGGCCATGGGGATGAAGGGCATGCCGCTCGGATGCGTGCAGCTGTGCACTTTGTGTGACCAAAGGACAGAGCAGTGCCCGCTGAGGCCTGCTGGACAATCTTCGGGACATTGTGGTCACGTGACGTGCAAAGCCTCAAAAATCTGCCGCTCCGCAACAGTGGTGCAGTCCCTCGCAGACCTTGTGCTGAAAGCCACCTCGGGGGAAACTAAGGACATTTTCACGAGTGACGTCGAGACATCTGGCAGGGTTCTCGCGTTCCTGAGCTTGTCTGGATGTCGCCGCGTAACGGATGAAGGGCTAAGGTGCGTCCCATTTATGGATGTAATGTATCCCCCCACTCGTGAGCGGCGATTCGATTGGCACAATTTAGGGTCACGATTTAATTCCCGATTTAAATTTTGGCTTGTATTTATGGTCTCGTTTGTATTGATATAGTTTTCCCCATCATAATAGACTCCGTACAATGTACTTGCTTAATTGGTTACCCATGTGTATGGTTACAAAAAACGGTTGGGTATATCTTTTAAGTGTAGTCTTGTTTGAGATGCAGCTTTTCTCCATTCGCCTAAATGACGTTTGCATATAATTCACATGTAATTTGAGGTTTCGCAATGGTTTAGCGTACTGCACTATTTACCCATTCCTGAATTTGATGCCTGGTCACAGGTCAACATTGGTGATTAATGTTATCTGAACTGATTCTGGATGACCCCCTTTTTTAAAATCAACTTTGAACTGACCAGTGTGGTTAAGTTTGGTCAAACAACCAACATGGCATATTCATGCATGTATCGTGAACATATGAATCGGATTGTAATGCGAACCGATTCAAGCATTGCTTTAAAAGCGTTTCTCATTCATGTTTGTGTGCACCTCTGTATGGGGACAATAACCAGACACGTTTAATTCCCAGTGTGACCAGCATCAAAGCCTCTAGCCTTCACCAGGAGTATGGCCTCAGAAATGCCCATATACCCTCAGAAACAATATTTTAAAGGTTCTGCTGCTGTCAAAGAGGAGCTTACCACACTTTGTGCTAAGCCACCAAACCTGTAAAAATCAGTCCGAAGGAAAAAATAATTTTCATTGGTGAAGCGATGCATCCGTTACACACGGTCTCGTCTCTTCGCTCTTGGCAATCGTCGTGTTTGTCGTTGTCCGGTACCTACAAAGCGGTGTGCACGCCCCGCAGGTCGCTGGCGATGCGTGGGGGACTGCCGTTGTTGGAGCACCTGGACCTATCTGGGTGCCGCCACCTGACAGGCGCTGGGCTGCAGGATCTCGTATCCATGTGTCCCATGCTTAATGATGAGCACTTCTTCTACTGTGACTTCATCACAGGTGAGGGTTACACTGGTAGGAATCTCCTGGTTACACCAGCCCACAGGGGATTATTGTGTCCTTCGTGCAGGGAGGGGCTGAGTGGGAGGGGTGGGGAGGGAGGGGCTGGGTGGGGAGGGGTGGGTCTGGGTGGGGAGGGGCTGGTCACCCCGTGGTGCCCTTATAAAACTCAACGTTTAACCTACTCACGCCGGCTTGTGCCCGCCCTCAGTCGGGCATATTTGCAGGAATACACCACGCTGCCAGTTGACCCTGGCCATTGACCGAGCAACCCAACGTTCCTACTAGCTCCTTCCGCAGGAATGTGTTAAGTTTGCATATCCATGTCGTGCAGAGAGGGGGGGGTGTGGGTGGCAGGGCAGCATTAGCTCTAACCCCAGTTTGAGATGGAGAATGGTAAATTGGCAATGTGTTTACAAATTAGTGCAGTATTATCTTTTGTTAAAATAAAGAGGCTTTTTGTAGTCATCAGAAGGGAGATCTGCTGACTGGCCTTCAGGAAATAGTTAAGTGTGTCACTAATCATATATATGCTCTATATACTTTAAAAGATGAGCAAACTTTGAGTGACATCAATTATTATGTTTTACCACAAGTATGTGTGGTTAATGCAGGCGGTGATGCCTTCTAAAAGGTGTCTGTGGAGTTTGAACATCTTTGCACCTGTATTTTTGCCAGCTAGGGTAAAGCCGTTTTAAATTATATTCTTAATACTGCCGAAAAAAGGGTCCCATAGATATAGTTAATGGGTGTTGTGCACTCCACCTCTCCATTCACAACACCTTTCCACATGAGTAAAACATGCACCCCACCTTGTAAAGATGCATTGCAGATCAAAGTAATAATCAACATTGCAAAATAATAGGATTAACATAGGAACTCGTGAAAAAAAACTGCCTTTTCATAATCGTTCACCTTAATCATTGGGTTTCCTTTAGCAATGCTTACTGTTGCATAGCATTGCACTGATGCAATGGTTGGGGCATTTCCCAGCTTAGTGCATCTGTGAAATGCAAACTCCACGGATGCTGGGAAATGGCATCAACTTGGCAGCGTCTGTGGTCAAGCTCAAAGGAAGACCGAGAGCTGTTTGGTTTTCAACTTAGCAGCAATGTGGAGCATTCCCAACTTGCGTAACGCTTAATAATGTAATAATATAAGCTAGTGCGGTCGATGTAAAACATCTGTACTCCAGAGTATGTATGACTTGCGTTTATTTGAACAGGTCTGCAGTGACCTCATAATTTGTGCTTGTATAGTGTGTTTAAACGTACGAGTGTTTTGAAACTCTGGTTTTATTCTGCAATTCTGTTGGTGTGGTGCTTTTGTTGACCCCTTTAGTCTATAAAGGATTTCACTAAACTTATGTTTTATTTCAGGGTTGTGCAGAAACAAATTGCGTTGGCAGCGCTGGAAGTGCTCAAGTCAATAATGACAAGCTTTGTCAATACTTTTAAACACGACTGCATTATTACCGTGCTATGGAAACTATCTCAATAATATTCTTGGTTCTTTCGGTAAAGTCACGTAGAAAGGAAATAATAAAATAATGTAAATATATAACAAATTCTCACGTTTCGACTGCAACACAAGCAATCGTCATCAGGTGTGAAATCCACAGCAAGAAAATTTTCTTGCTGTGACTTTACCGAAAGAACCAAGAATACGAATCCCTGCAGTCACGAAAGCTTTAAATCAAAATATCTCAATAATATTCGCCTGGAGACATGCACGTGGACACATTCTCTCTCTTAAATGTTGGGAGGGTTTTCTTTCTAATGTTCTTTGTTTTCTAGGCCCGCGAGCAGAGACAGCCAACGGATGTCAGAACCTGCAGTGCAGCACTCGCTCGTGCTGCCGCTCCGGGGAGTAGCCTCCCCCCTGCCCCATCTCTCGTACTTGGCAACTCCCTCCTGCTGCATTCCCCCACCCCCCCCTGGCTGTATCCTTTAAAGGCTCATTTTGGCTTTCTGCACTTTAACGCATTTTGTTGTTTTGGTTGTAGACAAACCACCGTCATCGCAAGAGCTCCGTTGATACTGTACAGTCGGGAGAGAAAGATGTCTTGTGGAAGCGTCGATACTGTAAAATGTAATTCTGTTTTCTTTATTAGCTGGTTTGAAATTTTAATTAAAACACCCCATGTGGGTTTGATCCAAAGGGACATGCACCTCCTAAAGAAAGCAAATAATTTAGCTAGTCAAATTTAATGGCAACCAAGTGTTTTGTCAATCTTCACATGGATGCATTCAGATTTTCTGTATTGTTATACTTTACTATGATGAATGTTGCTTAAACAAGACAAAATCCAAAGGGATGGGACGCTTGTTCATTCGGCCACCTTTTCACTATAAAACCCTTCATTCACTATACAAACTCTTGTTCTGCATTTTTTTTATTAGTATTGTATTGCTACATGAGAATGCATAATTTGAATGTAGAATCAATGCTGCATTTACCTTCAAATTAAAACATTGCTTTGTAGATAATTTGCTGTGCAACTGTCATTGCTTATGGCATCCAGTAAATAAAGTTCAATGTAATAAAGGCTGAACGTTGTGCAATACATTTTTTATTAAACTTTTTCACAATATATTGAACAAAAACCCACACACATCACATCTTTTCAGCAATTGTGGAAATGAATTAGGTGTACAAGGGCCTGTACAGCTGATAATTTCACAAATGTTTAACCTGTGATGAAATGAGGGGGGGGGGTGGAATTATCTTTACACTGCCTATGGCATCTGGGACAAACAGGTGGGAAGAAGAGGCCTTCTGCATCACCACTCCAGACCCTTGGAGTGCTTGCTGGCAATGCCTTTACACTTGCCCTTTTTGCGAAGCCTCTTTTCCCTGATGCGCTTACACTGGCGTGGGTTCATCCACTTGGGGTATTGTCCATGCTCGTTTAGGTAGGACTTGTTCTTCTTGTCGTCCAAATCCATACTTTCGTTCTCTTCAGCTGCGAACACAATGTTAACATTGTTAAGTTGCTCAATGAGTATTATCAAGCAGTTTGTCGATTTGTTTGGCAAAACTAGAGTTTTGTTTTGGCAATGTGTTAACCTCGCACGGCTCCAGTGAAGGCAATCTGACCTTGCATGTTCTAGAATTTCTAATTTAAAAACTATGTACAGCCATATTCACATCTTGATAACTGCCATATCATGATGACTTGGAAATTTGCCCATTGTTGGATATGTAGACATTTAATATCCCCCCCTCCTCAAAACTGTACAACTTTGAACATGCATAGTCACTGGGTTGAGTTTTAGGATATTTTACACAACACATTAACCTCAGTTTAAGTATGGTTTTCATCATTCAGAGTAGAAATCAATACTGTTGCATTGTATGCAACACTAGATTTGGCCACATACTCTAATCACCCAGGAATGTCTGTCCTTCACGCTTGTGACAGCACTCCACCAACAAGCCCCCCCTCATTAATAATCATGAACAGGTTACATCCTCCAAATTGACACCCCCCCCCCCCATTCATAATAATTAGCAGCTGACGTCACTCCACATGGGGGCCAAGGAACCCCCTCACTACAAAAGGCAGAACCCTCACGTCATGCGATCTCCGTAACGCTATTGAGACATTGAAGTAAAAAGGACGTCATGATGAACAAGGGATTATAACCTTTAAATGAAATAAGTGTCACCGCGGCCTTACGAATTGCACCACACATTGATGCAATTAATATCACATCGGGGTCTGCATTTCGCTTGCAAGTTTCAGCCTTTTGCCCCGTCCTTGGACGGGCAAAAGGCTAGTAATAAAATACCGGTGTACAATCATGTACTGATTAATACTGCATATTTACGGGACTTTAGATGAGCTTTTAGTGAACGTCACATGCCGTATTGCATAAAATGTGTCCATAACACCACAGAGCTTTAAGTTAGTGACACGTGGTTTCACTTGTGTGTTGCGAGTTAGACCCAAACTAAGCATTGGGGATATTGGCCAATTCCAGTTATTGGCACGATCGGAAAATGTAAACCCACACAAGGCAGAGTTATTCAGGATATCAAGAATACATTTCTGTATTCGCAGATGGCCACCTCCATTATCACAGGTATATTAATTAAATTGGCAAGTCTCAGGGACATTTACGTTTTGAAGAAATTTGGAGTTCCCAAAAGGTGAACTTTTAATAACGCAGATGGGATTATGAACACGTGCCGTCCACTACCCATATCACACCCCAGCAGGGTTTAGAACGTTCACATCTGCATATTCTACCAAGTACTGCCTTCAAAGCACGTGATGGATTTGAGGCATGCACAAGGACACCCAAGCTGATTGTAGAATGGTTATAAAATATTGTAACCTGGTCCAAATATCCCTATTATCCTTTTTACATGGTATGCCTGAATACATACAAAATAAACTAGCCATATAATAATTCAACCCCTCCCAAAGCTTTTTGGTCAATGTTGGGTGCTTATTTCAGGGACCTATTGTTAAGTTTTTACCCATCTCATTTGTATTTTCTATTTGTCCGTTCCATCATCCTACATACAGCAGCATTATCAGTTGTAACAATTTCTTCACACGAGTCAATGGTTTGCCATGGAATGAGTCGTTATTCAATTGAGTACCAAATTTTGTTAAATGTCACGGTCTAGCACCCCCCAGTGGCTGCGGAACATGCGAACTAAATTGCGAAATGTGATGGACGTGTGCATCGTTCCAACTGAACCCACGATCCCCGGCAACAAGTGGCTTCCTCACCATTGTCCCCCTTCATCTCCACGTCTGCCTTTGTGGTCGACGTCGTCGTCGATGTGGTGGTCGTGGCCGCCCTCTTGAGCTTCTGCATGGGCACCATCGTCACCACGTCCTTCACCTCATCCATGCGAGTGTCGCCACTAGCGTCCGTGCCCAGGATCGCCTTGAGCCGCGCCATCTCCTTGGGCGCGTTCTTCTTGCGTTTTTCGGCACGCATCTTGCGCCTCCACTTGCTGCGGATGCTCTTGGCCATGGTGTGCGGGCCTTGATGATGAGGGATGGGGAATAAAATAGTTATTTTTACACTTTTATCTCAGTTGGCGAGGCCCAGGGCTGGAAGGCCTAAAACACCGACAATCTAGTAGACCCAAGTCGTCAACATGGATGAATCAACGAGTTAAGTTCACGGGAACAGTAACCATGGTCGTAGCAATGTAGAAGTGATAAGCTGAATAGTACGTAATCGTTAAATGCTTGTGATTAACGCCTTCATCCAGCAGTGGATTATGACTGACGATGTGATAACAAAATGTCATCGACAATATAACAATTTGGCCAGTAGATGCGGTGGTGAAGAGGTAAGTAACTATCCGTCGATTCATAGGTTCAAAATTTTTTTTTCCTATGCGTATGTAAACATTGTCAGTAGGCCCCCCATACGCAAGCGTACGCATTTGGGTGAACCGCCCCTCCCCCCTCCATGCGTACGTACTAAATGGATGGCCCCCTATTGTATTTACCAGGTATAGCCTACTAAGCTATTAACTCTTTTTCAGAAGCGACCTGGCCACAAATGATAGCTCTCCGAAGTGGCTTATGTGGACATTTATGGAAACCAAAATGAAGATACACACAGAGATAGGCACGTGGTTCACAAACAGCTCGTGACTTAATATTTAGGTGATCACCTCTGTGTGACCCAACAGTTACATGTGACAGGCATGTAACGATGGAGAATATTCATTTTCCACCATCGATTCTTCCGCACGAAATGCGTACGAGAATTTTTTTAACGACGTGTGCAAAAGATAGCATGTATCATGCCGATAACGCAAGATAACTGTGTATGTACATTACGTTGAACTTCTTTCGCACAGCATGTAGCCAAGGAGGTGCGAAACTAGAGAAACTTGAGACGGTGAAAATTAAGACAACTGATTCCCGAATCAAATGGCAAACTCGAATCACTGGTTGACTCAATCATTGCACGCCTATACTTCATACCTTGTAAAGCCATACGGTTTACCCCGTATTCTTGTACAGGGAAAATTAAGTTTTCAGGTCCATACAGCGTACAGCCGTTTCAACACGAGCCAAACACTTTTCTTGATACAGCAATTGTGCTGTGACTGTTCCACCTGAAGACGGAAGCTTGTGTTGCCTCCGAAACGTCGTGATTATTTTATTTCTATTATTTCTTATATAATTTTTATTATTTCTTTTTTACCTACGTGACTTTACCGAAAAGACCTAAGAGTACCAAACACGTTCCTTCGTAGTGGGCAGGTAGGAACTTGGTTGGACAGCGCATTCGTGCACGACAGAGAAATAATCCCTGGTGGGCAGTGTGGAACCTGTTGTTCCTACCTGTAAAATGTGTGTCTATTTGTGTTTCTCCCTTGTGGTGATAGGACTTTGTAGAATGAACGCTGAGATTTAAACGGACACGGGGTGACCAATACCGGTCTGAATTGGTCCTCTAATAAGGTAGGCACTGATAAGGGGTTGACAGGTATGATACTTGAGGGTCACAATGTATAGGAACATCTCTGTGTTAATCCACTGCTGGATGTGGGTCTCGCCGTGCGGGTCGTGGGGGTTATTGGATTAAATACTTCACCACGCCGGCCACCACGTGTCGAAAGGAGTGGGATCATAGAAACACCGCACACAATGAAGTTTCTCCGCTTGCCCTATTCTCCACAACGTAAACCCGCACTCCCGGTACAGTACATGCTTGGCGTTCGCACGTGCAAGCACTATCCAGGCTGAAGAAGTTTGCTTCGTTTCCGAGATCTTGGCGCATGCCGTGTTCATTGTGTCAGACCGGTATTTAACCTTGACTGATTATGTCTGGATTCTAATTATACGGAGATTCGTACAGCCATCGAGATACATTAAAGTCGAGCGACACGAGTGTGCGATTGTCGTCGTGAAATCCAACAATATGGACCGTGCTTTTATTAATTTTAATTGTATTTTTTACCTACGTGACTTTACCGAAAAAACCTAAGAGTACGTATAGTAACCCACTGTACTGTACACGGTGGTCTATGTGTCTTGTGACCCCCCCCCCCCCCCCCCCCAATAAATTGACGGCAAACTTATTTTGTTCCTTTGAATCTCCATATCTGCTTTAAATAAACCTTACTTTAAAAAAAATGTTTTAGATAATTAAATGGGGGTCACAAGACATCTGGACCGCCGCGCAGTGTGCGCTCCTTCTACGGAGGAAAACCAAAACTACACGAATTATCTCTACGTAAAACAAAACACACCCCTGAACATATCGCCATACGCGAGAATAGAACAGTCCGGTAACCAACAATCATATATGTTTAAAATATTTAGTAACTTTGCCAAATAAGCCACACAAATAAAGGCCAGGCCCAAACCCATCCTGAACGTCGCCTAGCACAGGTTGTACCAGCCAAAAGCCACTCGACCGCTCAACGCCACGGCGAACAAAACCGAGAGCTCGACGCATTCTGCGCGCATACGTACGTGCAAGGAGCAGTGAAGATTGTTAATCCCGGAGATATATCTCTGATATCTTTGCTGTTGATGTGCGCGGCGGATCGCGCCTTCGACGCGACGAGCGCAGACGGAGGAAGATCCACGTGCTGGTGACGTCACCGGAAGCGCCGTCGTCGTCCCCACCCCCCTCGTGCAACCACAGGAGCCCATGAATTAAGTTCCGACCAACACTAAAATCGCCCGGCGAACGTCTTAAACGTTAATCTAATTACAACCCGAATTGTCATTTGTATTCCCCTAACGTTTTATTTGGCGACACGCACTTGCAACTGACGAATAAGTCAAAGTCGGTTGAGCTAGAACTAGATTAAAAGTGCCCGGAACCTTTTATTTTTTACCGGAACCGGGAAACCGACCGTACATTTGGCTGTGCAGATGGGGCCCCGAGAGGCTGATGTGGAGACGTTCGTTCACGTTTGGTTTTAACTTTTTAACTTTCGCCACTTTCATCACAATAACGACAACGCTGTTATTCTCACTAAGCTAGTAACTATTTCGCACACAGCGGCCGAAGCTCGTCATGTTCGCCAAAGCGCTAAGAATAAAGTCTAACACGGCCATCAAGGGCTCTGATCGGTGAGTGAATGAATGGGGTTTTACAACTTTACGTGGCCTTGCAATTAGGTTAATTCTTCTAATTACAACTCCAATGTTTTGTTGTAATGTTGTTACTGTTATAAATCGTGAGCTATGCCTCCTCCTGATCTCCCTTCAACGAGTCCTCGCCCCTCCCACGTGGTTTATTTCTCCAAAGTGATGCACCTAGCCTGGCACAGACACCAAATGTTGGTATTTCTGCGGGTGGTGGAGACTTATGCTTGAACAACGAACAGGGACGGCTCCTAATAATCAACGACACTCACTGAGCACCTTTTACAAGAGGGGGGCATGACGCGAAAACTCACCGTGTCTACATTGTGTGCAAGTGCACGTAGCTTGGCACGGGAACCATCGTTGCAGCGTTGATCGTGAGCATGACCGGTCAGGGCAATCTCTTCTTGCAGACTCCAATTGCGTATTGGAGAACAGTAAAAGTTGCGTAACTTGCACACATTGTGATTGAATTTTTGTTATTTATTTCACTTTGGGGTCGTCCATAAATGACGTCACGCACCTGGGGGAGGGGGGGGGTCAGACATTTGTGACGATGTGTCACGTCACATCAAAATGCGCAACTTTAAATAAACAACTAAATAGACTTTTTAATAAATGTTTTCTCCTACAACATCAGAGTGCAGCGGCACATTAAATACGCACTACAATGACAATAGTTTAAAGCGATTTGAAGCATGTTTTATTTTGGGGGGGGGGGGGGGCAGAGCTTTGTGACGTCATATTTGAAGAGGGGGGTCTGACTTTTTGTGACGCCGTGTGACGAAGGGGGGGGGGGGGGTCAAAAATCGTCCAAAATCGCGTGACGTCATTTATGGACGGCCCCTTGCCCCTGGAAACCCAATAATTACAAGCGCATATCGTAGAACATTTCATTCAACGTCTTTTAATGCAACCCAGAGGGGTGGAAACGCTAAAGGTGCAGCCCAGCAATGCCTTGCTCGCACCCCTGCTAGCGGAAGGGCGCCCGAGTGTGGCTGGGCGTCTTTGGAAGATGAGCGAGAATCCACGACACTTTACCTCCCCACACCACCACCATGTCGACTGACTGCGGTGTGCACATTTGAACCGCTGGTTCGACAAAGGCGGCGGTGGCGGGGGCAAATTTAGGGAACTTGCATCATTATTTTAACTGCTATACCGAGAGATTTCAGTTTTCATTTATGAGGAATAACCCTGTGAGCCATGCGGCTCTTGACTCGGGTGCAACCGCAACAAGCAAAAACATGAACAAGAAACATCTGAAAGTGACTACACGCAACAGAAAAATCCAGGAAAAAACAGCAAAGTCTTCCAGAAAAAACACCGAAATTCAATGCTGTGTGCAAAAATCCCAGTGGGATGCAAATCAAACAATAACAACCATAAGACAACTTAGATTACATTTCGATTTAAAGCTTTCGTGACTGCAGGGATTCATCTTCTTGTTTCTTTCGGTAAAGTCACGTAGAAGGGAAGTAATAAAATAATAAAAATAAAACATAATAAAACAATTCTCACGACGTTTCGGCTACAACGCAAGCAGCCGTCTTCAGGTGAAGAATGAGACACTACCAAACTAGGAGCTTATATATAAGCTGCATTGGGGGTTGAAGAGCGCCTTAACAAAAAGAATGTGCATGTGAAGAGGGATTTAGCATATTCATGGAAAATGCGTAGGCGTTGGGCGGGGGGGTGTCAAAGTCATATTATGCCCATGCATTATGCAGGATCAGCAGCAACCAAGGGGGGTGCAGGGATTAGCAGTAACAAAGGAAAGGAATGTTAATGATATGTAGCTGCAGTTACTCAACAACCACGTAGAAAACTAAAGTATAAACTACATAAAAAACTAAAGTATAAACTGCATCGCACCATCAGTATACTTACTATACTCTATAATAAGCTGAGTTACTAACAGCAAGTAATACATTAAAATTTTACCTCGTAAAAATTCTATAATATGCTTCCATCTAAACCTTATTCTCTTACATCACACGAGCATATACCGTACTATATACTGCCATAGATAAACCCAACATTAAATTATATACTGTATTGCTGTAAACCAACCTATATCTTATACATTTAATATCACACTATGTATTATTCTGCACACCCTAATGTGTATCGAAATGGTTTATTACGTCCTTCCAATGATTGCTGAGCCAGAATCCATCTTCTCGGTTAAAGTTGTCTCTGTGTTTGTATATGTGGATCGCCTCATGAACGAATCTCTCATGATAGCCAGATGGCTTGCAGAGAACCTCTGTCTTGGAGAAGTCAATATCATGTGAGCCCACTGAGTTGTAACAGTGATCTGCCACGGCTGAGGTGTTAGTCCTACCGTGTTTCAGGTCAGCTTTATGTTCACGGATGCGGTCCGAGACATGTCGTTTGGTTTCCCCAATGGTAGCAGTTACATTGGGGAAACCAAACGACATGTCTCGGACCGCATCCGTGAACATAAAGCTGACCTGAAACACGGTAGGACTAACACCTCAGCCGTGGCAGATCACTGTTACAACTCAGTGGGCTCACATGATATTGACTTCTCCAAGACAGAGGTTCTCTGCAAGCCATCTGGCTATCATGAGAGATTCGTTCATGAGGCGATCCACATATACAAACACAGAGACAACTTTAACCGAGAAGATGGATTCTGGCTCAGCAATCATTGGAAGGACGTAATAAACCATTTCGATACACATTAGGGTGTGCAGAATAATACATAGTGTGATATTAAATGTATAAGATATAGGTTGGTTTACAGCAATACAGTATATAATTTAATGTTGGGTTTATCTATGGCAGTATATAGTACGGTATATGCTCGTGTGATGTAAGAGAATAAGGTTTAGATGGAAGCATATTATAGAATTTTTACGAGGTAAAATTTTAATGTATTACTTGCTGTTAGTAACTCAGCTTATTATAGAGTATAGTAAGTATACTGATGGTGCGATGCAGTTTATACTTTAGTTTTTTATGTAGTTTATACTTTAGTTTTCTACGTGGTTGTTGAGTAACTGCAGCTACATATCATTAACATTCCTTTCCTTTGTTACTGCTAATCCCTGCACCCCCCTTGGTTGCTGCTGATCCTGCATAATGCATGGGCATAATATGACTTTGACACCCCCCCGCCCAACGCCTACGCATTTTCCATGAATATGCTAAATCCCTCTTCACATGCACATTCTTTTTGTTAAGGCGCTCTTCAACCCCCAATGCAGCTTATATATAAGCTCCTAGTTTGGTAGTGTCTCATTCTTCACCTGAAGACGGCTGCTTGCGTTGTAGCCGAAACGTCGTGAGAATTGTTTTATTATGTTTTATTTTTATTATTTTATTACTTCCCTTCTACGTGACTTTACCGAAAGAAACAAGAAGATGAAACTTAGATTACAGTTATCAGGCTAACTCTGTACTACAACATCGATGGAATCGAACCGGTAACCTCGGGGTTACAGATCGAATGTGCGAACCATTACACCACAGCATACAAACTTGGCTGACTTAAGTGTTGGCTAACGGAGCCTTTGCATTGAAGCTCCCACGAAATGTTATGAGAGTGAACATATTCCAATTGAGGACCCTCCCGATAAACAATGTTGAACTCACAGATAAGTTTGGGGTTATTTAACGCAATATAACATTATTTCAAATTGTCACGTTAAATTGAGGATTGTGTCGGATTGCAAAACACAATTGCAGTATAAAATTAAAATGGTATTGGTCATAATGACTCTGGTTTGTGTGCCATCTTCATAGGGAAAGGCCATTGCAAAGGCGCTTTTGTTCACGTAAAATTATAGTCAGCAGTGGTTTCAGAATCGGAAGGGATGTTGTTACGTGGATTTAGCCAGTTAGGTGATTTGCGAGTAATTTGAACATTTGGCAAGGTCGGTCTACAAGCCACTTCCTAGCCGACCGTCTGTTTTATGCCCCCCTCGTCCTCTTCGTTCACAATCTTCTCTGTCTCTCTCTTTGTCCCTCATTCTCCCTCATGCCCCCAATCTCGTGTTCAATCCTTCCTCCTTTCACCCCTCCACTGGAATACACTTTCTCCTGTACATTTAGCAGTCCCCCTCCTTAACCTCTTTTCTTTCCTCTCTCAAAGCCTCACCTCTTCTCCATTTCCTTCCTCTTTCCTCCCCTCGCCCCTCTACTCATTCCCATCCCTCCCCTACCATTTCGTGACCCCCGTGTGCCCTCTGTTACGGCCACTGATTCCTCGGCCCTTTGCACGTCCCTGCCATCTAAATAACAATGTATTTGTTACCGCTTTTTAAACTACGTAAAGCGCCTTGAGCAAAGGCGCTATGTAAATATGAAATAATATGTTTGTCTTGACCGTGGATCCCTCTTTGGTGTGGCGAGCAGGCGAAAGCTGCGTGCCGATGTGGGCCGCGCACTTCCATCGCTGTCGGCCGAGGAGCTAAGTGCCCTTGTGCCACAGAAGGAGGACATGAGTGTGGTGCGGGCGTACGCGCACAAGGGCGACGTTGTCACCATCTACCTGCTCAACTCCAACCCCGTCTTCTTCGAATGGGAGAAGCGCCTCTTTCCCACGGGTACATGGAAAGGTTTCCATCCGATTGGTCACCGGACAGCTGTGTGTTACTACTTGGCGTGTAACGATGCGCCGATCCGTCAATTGCAATTGATTCTGGTCGTCTTATTTTTATGGGGGTTTTTTCAGTTTTATTCCAATTGTGCTGACTGTGTCGTGTCATGCGACAAAGTATCTCTCGCAGGGCAGTGTAACCCTTCGTGTTAGAGAACAACGCACGGAAGCGGATACTGCAGAGCTACCTCGTGAGATTCCTGCAAGTGACCTCTGGTTTACTCGGTAGAGGGCAGCACGGAGTAATGTTCATCGCTGATAGTCAAATTGGTATTTTTAAATCCTTTATATTAAGTTCGTTTGCTTGCTTACGACCGTGCAAATCTTTCGGTCGTTTTTTAACCCACTTCCCGTGATCCAATCGAGCTGACATTTTCCACACAGACTCGTTGTGCGTGACAATTAATGTTCGTGAAATTTTTTTTCCAAAATTTTACACTTTTTAGGACAAAAATATTATATTTAATTACCAATTGCTTAATGGTGCAATGCAATAATCTGCCCCATAGGTGGCAGCCATCTCAAGCCAGAGGACGAGAGGACTCTAGCCGCCACGCATATAAAGGATTTATAGTGAAAAACTTTGTTTTTACGGGTTATACTTGTTAATGCTCTGAGCTGGAATTTATTAAAATGAAGTGCAGAACAAAATTCCACGTGATCTTTTTTTTGTGTGAAATGATTGTTCACCAGACTGAGACCATCAGCTCGACGCACGTGAGAAGCCAATTTAATAAAGGATGGCTGCCCTGGATCCTAACCCATGATCTCAGTCGTGCCAGCTCAGCACTATAATCTCTTGAGCCACCCGGCCACCTTCACTCAATTCAGAGGTGGACATTAGTACAGTACTGGGGAGACGAAGTCTGTGTTACTGGCCACACCACCCACTTGTGTCCCTTCATGGCCTTGGTAGGTGCTCGCTAACGACAGTTTCTCCAACATTCTACGATGCTAAATGGGGATATTTGCCTTTGCTTGGTGTTGTTACAGTTTACACCCTGTGGAATCTCCCAGACATGATGCCAGTCTTCACTACATGGCCTCCTGTGTTGGACAGGCTGCTTGGCGGAGCAGGTATGGAACCTTGACCATGCTTACATCAGGATTGTTCATATTTTTTTTTTGCATGACACATCATATGTATTGACATATGTGAGACTATGTGTCACGACTCCCAGTGTTTAGACTTCGCCTTTTCTCTCACTGATATTTTCCTTCAGTCACTGTTTCATCTTTCTAATCTTAATCTCTTGACGACAGTTTCCATCGTTTCTCTCTGTTATTTATCATCTCTTTCATCTCACTAATCCATGCAACTTTTTGTCTCTGTGAGCCATATCTCTCTTTTATTTCGATTTAAAGCTTTCGTGACTGCAGGGATTCATCTTCTTGGTTCTTTCGGTAAAGTCACGTAGAAGGGAAGTAATAAAATAATAAAAATAAAACATAATAAAACAATTCTCACGACGTTTCGGCCACAACGCAAGCAGCCGTCCTCAGGTGAAAACCAGGTCCGTCGAGGCGACAGAGTCTGAATGAAACAGCACACGGGCTTAGAGCATATATATAAGCTGGGCGCATTGACAAAGGAATTTGCATATCAACAGGAATTTAGCATATTTATGGGAAATGCAGGAATGTAATTAGTACTGCATATGCATGTGCATTATGCAGGATTAACAGCATCAAAGGGAGCTGCAGTTACTGCTGCTGCAGCAGTTGCTGCTGCTGCAGTTTCTGCTGCTGCTGCAGTTGCTGCTGCTGCTGCAGTTGCTGCTGCTGCACTTGCTGCTGCTGCACTTGCTGCTGCTGCTGCACTTGCTGCTGCTGCTGCACTTGCTGCTGCTGCTGCAGTTGCTGCCTTATCCATTTTAATATAACACTATGTATTATTCTACCCACCCTAATGTGTATCATACTGCTATATGTTTACTGTACAATTACGACACCATACATTACTCTGCACACTGCACCATGCCAGTGAGTGGAACGCGGTCTGAAAGTCACCGTTAACGTGAACACAATCAGTTAAGATCCGAAATGGTTTATTACGTCCTTCCAATGATTGCTAAGCCAGAATCCATCTTCTCGGTTGAAATTGTCTCTGTGTTTGTATATGTGGATCGCCTCATGAACGAATCTCTCATGATAGCCAGATGGCTTGCAGAGAACCTCTGTCTTGGAGAAGTCAATGTCATGTGAGCCCACTGAATTGTAACAGTGATCTGCCACGGCTGAGGTGTTTGTCCTACCGTGTTTCAGGTCTGCCTTATGTTCACGGATGCGGTCCGAGACATGTCGTTTGGTTTCTCCAATGTAACTGCTACCACAGAGGCAACTTAGTTTGTAGACGCCAGGGTACTGTATGTCTGGAACCACATCTTTTACAGACGGGACCAGATCACGGATTTTATGTACTGTGTTGAATCGGACCTGGATCTTGTGTTTAATCAGTGCAGCAGCAGCAGCAAGTGCAGCAGCAGCAGCAAGTGCAGCAGCAGCAGCAACTGCAGCAGCAGCAGCAACTGCAGCAGCAGCAGAAACTGCAGCAGCAGCAACTGCTGCAGCAGCAGTAACTGCAGCTCCCTTTGATGCTGTTAATCCTGCATAATGCACATGCATATGCAGTACTAATTACATTCCTGCATTTCCCATAAATATGCTAAATTCCTGTTGATATGCAAATTCCTTTGTCAATGCGCCCAGCTTATATATATGCTCTAAGCCCGTGTGCTGTTTCATTCAGACTCTGTCGCCTCGACGGACCTGGTTTTCACCTGAGGACGGCTGCTTGCGTTGTGGCCGAAACGTCGTGAGAATTGTTTTATTATGTTTTATTTTTATTATTTTATTACTTCCCTTCTACGTGACTTTACCGAAAGAACCAAGAAGACCATATCTCTCTGTCGGCTTTTCTTCAACGGCCACTCTCAGAACCTTTGCGGGCCAGATGTGGCCCACCAGCCACCTCTTGAAGAGTCCCGCTTTGCCTGACACACAGAGGCCAGACATTTAATTAGGATCCACGTAATTCAGCAGGGAAATCCTGAGACTCAATAAAGCAACTGCGGAAATTGGAAACAAACAAAAAAATTTGTTCCGTGCAAATCAATAACTATATCTTGTAAGAAAGAAAAAAATACATTATGCTGACATTTTGAGCATTGGACCTGTAGACGGAGCAGTAAATTGCCATCTGTTCTCTATTTCAAATACATATTCCTTAGTTTTCTTGGTAATTATATTACGGGAGAAGCAGTCCCATAATGTATTCAAATGTTAAACAAATAACGTTTTAAACGGGGGATGTACCAGCTCGTACAGTCTGTTTCTCCTTAACTAAGAAGCACTCACTCACATTTAGTCATCAAAAGTGGATCCTCAAAAGGTACTTTAATCACTCAGCCCCGTATTGCTGCCCTGCACATGCTACAGACCCCAAATATGCTGCGCAAGAAGAAAGCGAGTAGGCACTTAACAGTTATTTGATTAAAATAAATTCGTATTTTCCCGGTATGATAGATGAATTGAATTATGTAGGAATGCATCATTTTCAATTTCTGGAAATGTTTGCTTTGGGCAATGGAATGGAATGAATGAGGCAACAAACAGGACAAAATTAGACAGACATTACAAACAGGACAAATCAGACCGAATATACGAGATATATAAAAAAAAAAACGAGAGTTACAGTACAAACGAGACACCAATATGAGATGGAAAGATTAAAGACAATACTTTACGAGCATGAAACAGTAAAAAAAGATTACAAACAAAATATTGTCTGTAATTTAATACGGACAATACAAAAACAATTATTAATGTGCACGTTCATGAGAGATGGCAACGGCTTGGGGAGGCCTACATCCAGCAGTAGATGGTTGGTGATGATGATTCATACAAACGATACACATTGAATATTAGACTGTTCAAATTTGGGAATCAAATTATGACCTCAAATAGAAACAATTCATACGCTAGTAGCATACCTGTCAACCCCTTTTCAGTGCCTACCTTATCACAGACCAATTCAGACCGTATTGGTCACCCCGTGCCCTTATAAATGTCAACGTTCATCCTACAAAGTCCCATCACAAGGGAGAAACACAAACAGACAATGTTTTATGTTTCCCCATATTGAAACGGCCGTACACCGCATGGACCTGAAAACTCAATTTCCCTGTACAAGAATCCGGCTAAACCTTATGGGTTGATGGGTATGATAGTAGTGGTGGGTGAGAGTGTATCGTTCCATGTCTATAACCCCGACATCGTTTTTCACTTTGCAGTGTTCACGTTTCCCACTGGAGGGCGTAAGAGCCTCCTGCTGTACACAGCTCGTTGTGTATGAATGCATTCAATAAATAAAGCAACAGACGCCGTGATTGCTTAAGCACACAATCCTGTTTCCTGCACAGCCGAGCACACCGTTCCATCGTAAATGTGTTCAATTACATTTCACCTTCCGTTCAGCGCTAATGAGAACAATCTCATTGGACGTATTGTACAAATATGATTGACCTTCCTTGGGGCCCTGTTAAAGGAGTGAGTGGCATAGGAAAGTGGCTAGCTGGTAAATATACAGAGGCTGGCGTTGAGTCATGCCCTTTTCCTGTGAGCCATATGCTGCAGTAACATCTTATTTTGACTCCCCCTTGCTGGAGTTTTATGTGTAAACTGGCACCGTGGTATCGTATTTCCCCCCCCCCACTGCGTTGTACAATTCACGAAGGCCTGTCGCAACTGGCCGTTGGCTCGCAGAGACATGAGACGCAGCCGCTGTGCCGTCCCGTGTCTCGGAGTCGTGCGCTTGCCTCATTAAAACGATGGCCGGCGCGATGGAAGAAGCGTGGCTCAAATAAAACCCAGCGGGCGCACTGTACGGAGGCAGCCGGGGCGTGTAAAAGGAGCTGTGAGGACATCGCGCCTATGTGTGCGCTGCTTTGAGGCAAGCGACTGCCGTTTGATTGAGGAGTCATTACATGCCGAGTGTGTCAAAGGGCAAAAAAACCCAACAAAACAGACCACTGACTTTCACGCGGTTTTATGCTATGCACATTCCCGTTTTTAAACGCAAAATTGTAGCCATGTGCTCCCTAGCTTTAATGAATAACCTATTGTGGGCTCTGCGTGTTTTCTAGCCCCTTTAGCATGGCATTCCGCCGGAGGCGATTTCTTCCGTTCAATGTTTGTAGGGATCGTATGTGTGTAATCATTTAGCACAGGATTTAAAGAAATGTAGACGGTTAGGCCAACCCTGCCCTATGAGTAAAACCAATCAACCTCCACGCCATAATTTTTGGGTGTGCCAACTTGATGTTTGTTTTCAGAGAACTCTCTTCAAAAGCTCTTCTATACATGTATTTATAATTTGGGATGTGTTCACGATTGTCGGTTTAATCCAAATAATGTCGTCTAGATGAGACATTGTGGACAATATGAATGTTGTTCTTGTTTCGGGTTGATACAAAAACACGTCACCGGAAGTGATGTCACTTCTATGACATCACTTCCACGACGTCACTCACGTCCTTTTCAGGGCAAAACGATGTCACGTGGCGTTGTGTGACGTCACTGTTGTTAGCACAGAGACTATTTCATGTAGTACATAATGTAAGCGATGCGAAAATCCAAAAAAATATCCATAGTTATTTTTAAAAATCTGAAACTTTGGAATCTGATTTTCTTTTTGAAACTTATGCCAAATATATTTTAAGAATTGAAAGCTTCGAAAACATGATTTTAATTTTTATCAGGAAGTCGGTCAGTCATAATTCTCTATCAGCGAATAAGCAAAAACTCTTCTTTAGAACTGATTTTTGTGTTAAGTTTGTTGTCCTTCCCCCACACCTCCAATCAGCACGGTTGGTTACGTACGGTGCAAAAGAACGTCAACATACAAACAACACATTCATCACCAAATAACGAATATGTTGCTTTGTTTAACCATTGACATCTCACTGCATTGGCATCCCATCATAGGTCCACATGAAAGATAGTGTACAAATGTAAACTAAAGTGTTATCATTCTATTCCTCACCATTGTCATTGCCATAAAGATCAAAGTTGCCTTA